TATGTACATCAAGCATATAAAACGCTGGGATAATTATTAAAAATGAAAAAAAAGAACATTAAAATGTTATTTCTGTGTGAATATGATAATAAATACTTTTCTCAGGTTTTCTTGCTAATATTAATAAACATAGTTGACACTATTAGTCGTTTCAGTTAATAATATATCTAATGTGAGATGTAATTCTTTTACTTAATTTTTATGTTTATTCACATTTACATTCATCTTACATAAATTTAATAAAAATTAAAGGAATCAAATGTTTCCTAAATAATCTTATTCAAAAATGTTCAAAATGAATGATGAAATTTTTTGTTAAACGACATATTTAATTTAACTTAATCTAGTTAAATCAAATATTATCATTATTATAAAAAAAATTAAATATCCGTCTTACTTTCCACCTTAGATACACTTTTCTCAATAATAATTATTTTTTTTTTGAATATTTGCCTATACTATGATTTCTATAATATAATGAATAATGGAATTGAAATTTTAATTTGATTCAAAAATAAAAATTAGTAAGAGTATCGTATTTGTTATTCATACTTTCAAAATGTATCATCATTTCTTTTTTTCAACGGTGACCACCCCAGTTCTCAATGTCAATCCATTCCAAATATCTCTTATTTTCTTTCTACATTTAAGAATTTGATTGACATAGATTATCAAAGATATGAATGTAAATATACTCTCTCTATTGTATTTTCATCTACTACCTATTTCTAAATAAAAGGCACGTGGGTATTTTTGGAATAGGTTTCGATAAGAACAATATGTCCCTTATCAACGGTATGTAAATTTATTGACTGTCGAAAGCATTCGAAAAAGACATAGAAAACTATGAAAAAAAAAATTTTGATGCGTCTCCATCACCTCCTGTCAATGGTGAAAACAGCAACTCTCCATCTTGTTCCTATTGAAAGCTGTGCAAAAAATTCCCATTAGTATATAAAATGAAAAGAAAATTAATTGAAGAAAATCTGAATATCTAATTGAAAATACCCATTAACTTACAAACAAAAAAAGTGACTTCTATTTGATTGACAAGTGTTGCAAGACGAAGAAGAAGAAGCATTTTTCTCTTTTCACCTTTTGACTAGAGAAAAGTAAAAAGTCATATATTTGTTTTTCTATTTCATATATCGTTACACAATTTAATTTGTCTTGATAGAAAAACAAATATATTTTGATGACATGGCATTTGTCCTAATATCGTATAGAGTTGTTTTCTCAAGTTCAATTACGATTTGACACACAAATATGATATGTTATTTAATAAGGAAAACATTTTTATATAATATACTATCAAAGTTGTAATATGCATCGAGTTTTTCTTTTTCCTGTAAAATTAGATCTTATGATTCGATGATATTTAACTAAAAACATGTTTTTGAATATATATGAGTTCTGAATGTAAAAGATCTTATTTTGATTGATTACATAAAAAAAACAAAAAATAAAAAAATATGTTTTTCTGCTCAATATTTCTTCATATATATACTGAGAAAAATTTCTTGAAATAAAACCAAAAGCAAAATCATCTATTCAAAGCAACATCAAAACCAAAATCATAAATCAAACATCAATGGATTATAGTGCTCAATTTCGTCGTGCTGATACAAATCGTAATGGAAAAGTAGATCAACAAGAATTTCGATCATTCTGTGGACCTATTAAACAAACACAACCTGGAACATTTACTAAAGAAGATGAAGAAGCATTTAATGTAAGTTAAATGAATAAATATATATTTAAATATAAATTTATTTTTCTTAAGAATACACCTGTTGTTGAATCTTATACTTATGAAATTGGTCTTGATGTTGCTTGGTATGGTTTTGTAGAAGATCCATATAAATATGAACAATATTCAGCTGGTCTTCATATTATTAATGAACATTCGTATCCTCTTGGAATCGATGTTGCATATGGTGCACCAGATAATGCACATAAATGGAAACAATATGATCCTGCTGGTTCAATGTTTTATTTTGCTGATATGAATCATGATATGCAACTTGATGAAATTGAATTCAATTATTTAATGCGTTCTATTTAACATTAATATTCGAACTGTAATTTGTACATAGATGTCGATAGAGTTTATTTTCTCATTCGTCATATATATATATCTAAGTCAATCTTTCATTTTTCCTTCTTCGTCTTCTTCTATTGTTCATGAGAATTACGTATATTCTCATGTGACTTCTTCATATTGTACATTGAGATATGATAGAATCTTTTGTATATTTTAATAATTCGAGTACAAATGTACACGAATTGGAATATTTTATTTTCATTTTTCTCTTTTATTGTATAGATTATTTTAATGTATAAAAAGAGATTTGCATTTTCGAGTAAAAGAAGAGTAATTTGCTTTATTCAAAGTCACATTTCTTTCACTCACTCATTATATTACATTACATTATATTACTTGACATTACTTTATAGAAGAAGGAAATTTGTACGAATTTTGTTTATTTTTTTGTTCTTAAATAAACTATATCTGAAATATTTATTAATATGTTCTCTTTCTCCTAGAGAAGAATCCAGTAAACATAAATTGTCTGATTGTGTATCCGCACCTTAATGATTCATCGAAGAACTAGGTGAAGACGTAAAAGGAATTTTTTTCAGGACCGTTTTTTTACACAAAGGACCACTTATTTTTCAAGGGTTGACCGAAGGGTAATCGAAGACAAAGAATTCAAATCTGACTTCTATTTTATTTGATTATATAAATCAATCGCTTCGTTGTTGTTTGGCAAGGCAATTTCTATGAGAACGAGCGTTACTTGTGTTTCTAAGAATAATCATAAATATCTATTGATAATAAATTGTTATGATAAGATGTGAATGTGTAACTATTCTAATACTCTTTCATCATCTTTATTCTTCAGAAATTTTTCATGAGCGACAAAATTTTCGGAAGAAATCATCATGAAGGTACGCTTTTTTGAATATATCAAGAAATCCGGAAGTTGTCGATACATTTTTTCTTTTTTTGTGTCTTTGAATAGAGTTCGAATAAATAGCTATTCATATGCTTTTTGTTCATGCATCCCTGGTTTCCTTTGTATTATCCGCTCTCTTGCTCTGCGTCCATTAACGCATAATGTATTTTTTTCATATGACCCTCCTTTCAGTCAAGGGAATAAATTTTTACTCTTCAGATTTTTGTTTTTTCGGATTTCTTGACAACATCACTTTTTTTATCTTTTAAAAACACAAAAAATTTACTCTTCGTCATTTCCCTGCCACATGGATGAAGAGAGATAAGACACATTATTTTTTTCATCATTGTATACTTATTGTTATCCGACACAAACAGTTATAATGTATCATGAAACAGAAAGATTAGAACGACAAATTTTATAATTATTCAATTCCCCATGGGAAGATTTTTCTTGTTCTCTCATATTACGTGAAGCTCTGATAAGAGAAATATCTGTATATTCACACTCGATACGCTATGCATTTGATGGGAAAATTACATTTTTGTCTAAAACTTCTATGTAATATATACAGATGTGCGCGTTAACTTAACAAAAAAGAATATCAATGCAGACCCATTCAGAAGCAAACACTTTATATATTCCTTTACATCGAAGGTATGTTTGATATGAAAGAATAGAGTATATTGATAAAAGAGTGATCTTTTGAATAGATTTCTAATATCTATTATCATTTCAGACAATCATATCGATTTCTTGGTATAATTATCATTCTGTTATTGATTTCGCTTATCGCAATAATCGCTCTATCCAGCATCGAAATAAATAAAATAATAAAAGATCAACATACAGGAACAGCAAGTACGTATATATGAATTCTATGTAAATTTGATTCAATAATATTTTTAGTTGAAAATACTAGCGATTTGTGTTTAACTCCGTATTGTATCAAAGCAGGTTAGTGAGTTTTATCACACTCATAAAAATTAATTTTCTATTTTAAGCAAATTATCTGCTCGAAAGTATTGATGAAACAATCAATCCATGTGAAAACTTCTATGAGTTTGCTTGTGGAAAATACATTAAAAATGCCATAATATCATCGGAAAGTGAGTGCAAGAAGAATCAAAAAATAAATTACTATACTTTATCATTTACAGGTAGTGAACAGAGTATTATGTCACAAATATCAAAAAAATTAAGATATACAGTTGCCGGTACGACAGCTTATTCTTCTATTCTATATATTATATCTCGTTTTTCGAAGATTTGTTATCATCAAATAGAACAAAGAAGTCCAAAGCAATTACTAATGCTCGTCGTTTATATAGCTCTTGTATAGACGAAGGTACTATCGAAACGGAAGGTGTTGATGTAATAATGTCAATGATTAATAAAGAGCTTGGAGGATGGCCTGTCTTGCAAGGCTCAGCCTGGAATGAATCAACATTTGATTTTGATCGATTGATGCTCAAATTAAGTCAATACAATAGCTACATATTTTATACTGTAAGCACAGATGTTGATGAGAAGAATTCATCGATTCGAAGTATTCATGTAAGATTCAATAGTTTAAATCATTACTAATAAATATTCACCTTTTAGATTAGACCGTCTAAACTGGCTAAAGACAATTTTATTCACTATTTCAAGGGAATAAAAGCAATAGAGGCTTACCAGCAATTCTTTGTAAATTTTACTCAATCATTGACCAATGATTCTTCGACAATCTCTAGTGATCTTACTGCTTTATTAGAATTCGAGAGAGAACTTTACAAAGTAAATTTCTTTTCTCGAACAAACTTTCTGTTTTAATTCTTTTACATAGTACTTTACGATGCAAAACCAACTAGATTCTCGCGAAACTGTTCGCACAACACTCGGTAATCTTTCACATACAATCAATGTTAGCGTAAGTATCAACTTTCTCCTCTTCTTTCTTCATCTTTTTATTCAGTTTGATTCTTCTAACTATATTCGTCGCTTGTATCTATTGGCTAACGTCTCTGTGATCGATGCCGACATTGTAATTGTACGTGCACCCAAACTTCTGCATGGTATTTCGTCAATTATTGATCGGCAAACAGTACGTACCATACAAAACTATATGATATGGCGCTTCATGATGGATCGAGCTTGGTATATGCCAAAACGATTTCGAAATATTGTACAACAATTTACTCAGGTGTTTCATGGCACAAGTACTGAAGAGTCACGTGCAACTACATGTGCCAATTATGTCAATATAGTGATGAGCTTAACGGTTTCAAAACTTTATATTGAAGAATATTTCCATAAGGATACTCGGAAAGAAGTAATAAGAAAATAATTCGATAAGATAAAATATTTGTCTGTCGTGACTTTGATAGACAATTGAAATGGTCAACAATATTCGAAATATTTTCATCACGATGGTTAATCAATCGACATGGATGGATTCGAAATCGAAAATCATAGCGATTAAAAAAGTAAGTTATTTATTCGATCAATTTTATATTGGTAATAAAATTATTTTTCTTTATAGGCTCGAGCTATTAAAGCAAAACTTGGTTATCCTGGTTATTTAGAGAGTGATAATATGACAAAACTTGATAAGGACTATGCTGAGGTACGATATAGAATGAAAATCTATTATTCGTCTTTTTCTATTCAAATCTAGTATAATTTCAATTTATGTTATATGCCGAATGTTTTGAGTGCCATTCAACTACATTCAAAAGCTAGTCTTCAAATGCTTCGCTATCCTATCGATAGTAAACAATGGACTGGTATCTCGCCCACAAAAATCAATGCCATACATAGATTATTAGCAAACGAGATTTGTATGAAAGAGTCTCTAACAATAAATATATAATATCGTCGTTTGTCTTTAGTGTTTCCAGCTGTTATACTTCAAACACCTTTGTTCGACAGAGATGCACCTAAGTAAAACTTTGTTTTCTCATATTATCATAATATCTTTCATATCTTTGATAGATATCTTAACTATGGTGGTAAGGATAAATTCAACGAGACGAAAGAAACAAAAAATGATATTGAATTTAGGTATTGGCTTTATTATGGGACATGAGATTGCACATGGATTTGGCGATGAAGGGAAAGAATATGATCTGAATGGAAATGAAGTTTTATGGTGGACTAATGCGACTGTCAATACATTTGACATACGCAAAAAATGTATCAACGAACAATACGACAACTATACTTTGACTCAAATCAATCATTCAGTATTTCTTTCTTTTATTTTTGATTATTAAAACATAAAATCTTTTCTATTTAGATAAACGGACGAAAAACACAAAATGAAAATATCGCCGACGATGCAGGACTCAAACAGGCGTTCTTCGTAAGTTTTATCTTCCACCATTTCAAGATTTAAACCTAAAGATATTGTTAAGGCGTATCAGCAATGGGCTAAGACCCATAAAAATGTTGACAAGAAACTTCCCGGTTTAACTAAATATTCAGCGGAACAAATGTTCTTTCTCAATTTTGGTCATATATGGTGTACAAAAATTACAGACGAATCTCTGCACTCTAATCTAGTACTGGCTCAACATTCCCCTGCACAATTCAGGTAGAGTTATATTTATACGTCATTCTACGCTATCATAAATGATTTATATTTCTAGAGCACGTGGTCCTACTTCGAATTTCGTTGAATTCGATCGAGTATTCGGCTGCAAAGCAAGTCAAGGCAATAGTCGAGTGAACAAGTGCAACGTATGGTAGTGGCTTCATGGTACTATCTCAATCAATTACATCGAATATATATATACACTTGTACAAAGCGTTTTTTATTTCATTTTTTGTTTTATTATACGTGGGTGTCGATTTGTAAATGAATATAACATCCATACCCACATTAAATAAAAACATGAACAACTTATATTTGTGCAGAGTAAGATATTTCATTGTCTTTAAAATACGAAACACAAATCCAGTATGATAAAAATAATCAATTCAATATCGAAAATGTATTAGAATTGAATAAAATAAATCTATTAAACGAATAACTTCTTTTTAAGAATTGACAAATAGATTTATTGAAATTAAAATTCTTGTTGTTTTTGTCTAATTATATTTGACGTTTAGTAATATTTGCTAATAAACCATATTTTGTTCTTAATGTGATTTTAACTTCTGGAATTATTTTTTGTCCAGGTATTAATTTAAAATGACATTGTTGTACAAGCATAGCTAACATAATTTTCGCTTCTAATAATGCAAAATTTTGTCCAATACAATTTCGTGAACCAGCAGCAAAAGGAAGATAAGCAAATGGATGAACTAATTTTGGTTTAAGATCATTTTTCGTATCACGTAACCAACGAGTATAATCAAATTCAAGTGGTCGAGGCCATAAATCACTACGACGATGAAGAATATAACTATTTATAAAAATATCTGTCCCAACAGGTATATTTAATTGATTTTCTTCTGTCCCAATAGTATGTTCATGTATACAACGACGTATAAAAAGTGGTGCAGATGGATAAAGACGTAATGTTTCATTAATTATTGCTTCACATATAACTAGTTTTGATAAATGTTCATTAGTTAATTCATCAATATTATTTGGAATAACTTGATCAATTTCTTGTTGACATGCTTTTGAAACCTGATCATGTGTCATTAAAATATAAAATATCCATACCATTAAATTTCCTGTTGTTTCACTTCCAGCAAGTACAAATGTAAGAGCATGTGTTTTGATTTCTTGATTAGTAAATGATTCTCCTTCATTATCAACAGTTGAAAGAAGTAAATCAAGTAAATCAGGACCATCAGACATACTATTTGAATGTCCATGTCGTCGATCAGAAATAATTTTATCAACAAATTTTGCAATAGTTTCAGCTCCATTATCAAGAATATTTTTTTTCCAAAAAGGTAATTTTGAAAGAAAAGGTATTTGATTAATCATACGTAATGAACGATATAAGACAGCATCAAGTACTTCAGCTAATACATGACACATAATATCTTTTGCATTCGTATTTGTTTCAAAATCTGCACCAAATGCACTCGATACAATAATTGATAATGTTAATGTATTAAATAAATTTTGTAAATCAATTTCTTCAGAATCTCTTTCTTTATTAAGAATTTTTTCAATAGTTTTTTTTTGTTCGATCAGCAATAATTGAAATCATAGATTTTAAATTTGTATGATAAAATGCTGGATTAATCATTCGACGTGCTCGTTCATGTTCAGAACCTTCAGCTACTAATAAATTATGATAACCAATAATTGGTGCAAAAACTGTCGTAGCTATTACTGGTTTTATATAATATTTTGAATTTTGTCGACTAAGGACATCAGCAAGCATATCCGGTTCATTTACTAATAAACGTACAACTGGACCAAAACTATATAGAAGAACATGACCATGTTTTTCAACAAGATCTCCATAATAATTCATCATTTTATCAGCTTCTCGATAACGATGTAAATCAGAAATTTGACCAAGTAAAGGTATAAATGGTTCACCAGTAATTCCTTGTGCACGAAATTTATCATAGATTATTTTTTCAGGACGAATTAATTTAATATAGATAATTAAACATAGAATAAGAAGAATTATTAAGAATATATAAAGTAATATCGAAAACATTCTAGTAACCGAAATGAAACGTCGATAAAAAACAAAATCTATTCAGTCGAAACGTGTGTTTTTATACAGAACAGAAAAAGAAAAAACATTTTATTGATATGAATATGCACATAGAATATTATTCGTACGTGACCTTTACGACATTTCAACCACACAGAATAGAATAAAATGAATTCTTTTGCTTTGAATATCAATAAAAATCTTTAACTGACATATTATCGACACAGTAAGATCAAAAAATGAAATATCTATCTTAGATCGGTCAAATGAACTGATTTTTTATGTTAATAAATTGAGACAATTCTTTGGAAATATCACTAATGACTTTAATAATAATATGTATCCTCTATTACAGATACGAAAAAAAAGAATGTATGATAAACAAAACTCATATTTTACTAAGATAAAGTTATACCCTGCTACTTTATATGGATAGTGAGTGCGATATAAATCTCTTTTCTTTCTACGCTGTTGGTCATATTTATTTATCAGTTCTGCTTATGGTTGTTTGCATCTTTTCACTGAATCTTCATAGTATATCATTTTTTGTGAGTTTATCTGTCTTATAAACTTGTAAAGAAGTATGACCAGACAGATATTGTGGATAACATACTACGACGTGTTAGATCTTCAATAGTAAAAATAGCAGAAAATATTTAGTTTGTCCTTGAGGCTTTCCTCTCAAGTTCACAAACATCTCAACAACGTATATCACTTGAAGTTCAAATCTCACGCACAAATTTCAAGGGGATAAGTACTGAGTGCCTGCCTTTTTCCTCTTGAAATTATTTATAATAAATTTTAAATCTTAATAATATCAGTTATACAATTATTTTCAATGCATGTGCTCGACTTTAGAATTACTAAGAAACTAAAATGGGAACAAAAATTCTCAAACAAATGCCTAAGAATTTCGAAAAAAGGAATAAGATTTAAAATTCAATAAGAATTATGTCAATGAAATTTACTGATATTAAAAATGCTAAAATTTTATTTAAAATAATCGAGAAGAAATATATTATGAAAGGACATAATATAAATAGTAAACCATTGAAAAGTTTAAAACTTTTAGAAGAAATGAAGACAAATGATATGTGTTCATTATGTCAATCGATTGTCGATCAAATTTCATCATGTTTATATAATCATCAATGTATATGTGGGTGTCACTACTGTCTTGATCATCCACACCATTCCAAACAAAATCTGGATCGTGTTTCGATACTTCGAACATTTTCGATCGAACTCCATCATTTCAAGAGCCTCACAACATTCGTTACGGTTCCGGATTCTGTTGACTTCTCCCTGTAAAAAAGGTAGACCTTGGACTATGATATAGACGAAATAAAAAAATAGTATTAAGATGAGAAGGACGAGAATCTAAGAAAACTTAGGCATAGAGCACAGCCTTCGCTATCATGCTTATATGTAAAATTTTGTTATAATAAAATAAGAGAATAACAACACCTTAGATGTTGCAGATAATATTAGTTATCTTCTGTTATTTACGTGAGTCATAGACAAACAAAAAGTACCTTCACACAATAGTCTGTTTTTTCTTTGCGTTTAACTTTCATCTGAAACATAATATGCACACGAATCAAGTTTACAGAGAGAGTGTTACTGTAAATAATGGACCACACAAATGGTGGCACCACCGCTGGTTCAAAATAATTGTCATTTTCGTTACTATTTCAATAGTTTTTGCTGTTATTCTTGCTTTGTTGTTAAACTTCGTCGTCTTTGCACCGAATAAATCAGAAACTAGTACCACCCCTGCAACATCCTCACCACAAACAACAACACCACTAGTAACACCGACCATAACTTCAACACAATCAACAGCTACGACCACAACGCAGCACTCGGGTAAGCTCCATAGTAACGTTTTCCGGTCTCCTTAAATAGTACTTTTAAATCAGATCTAAGTAGTTGCTTCGTACCTAACATTTTTCTAAATCTAACTAAAAATTAAATTAAAAGTACAGTGATGTTCTTATGAGTGGTTCAATCGTTATCTTAAGAAGAAACGAAGATGCAATAATCGCCACATTCGCTATTTGTCATCAGGATCAGAGCCCGCGTGGTTTTGTTGCCATCGATACAACGAAGTTCACTTTTTTTTGTTCGTTTTATATCACTATATACTCTACTTTTAAGTATAAATAGTTTTGTTGTATAGCTTTTAAGAATGTTTCTAAACCTTGGAATATTTTCATTCTGAATATTACGAATCCCATTTGACTCGTGTATTCTCTTTATTTTCATTGAAACTTTCCAGATCTCGTGCATAAATCATAAGTATTCTGTATTGCTAAGAGTGTAGGTATAGATTTTATGCTCATTACTATATACATCCACACACTCATAAAATAAAGGTAAACGAAATATAAAACCATTTATCAGGATTCTTATACTTGAGATCTAATTAAAGTAAAGATCGTAGAAGTACAATTATAATGTAAGCCGCGTAAAGATTTATTTCTCTATCATAGTGCACTTACATTTAAAGTAGATATAATAGCTAGAGAAGAAGTAAGATATTAGGAGTAGACTTCTATCTAATTGTTTAGTCTCATTTTAAACTCTCTATTGCAAAATAGAACCGACAACGACAACAACCTCAACAACAACGTCAATCACAACATCAATAACAATACCGAGTGAGTACTATGTTAAATCATTTGTAGTGATTCAGACGATAATTAAGAGAAATGATGATATCTAAAAGTTTTCATCTGAGCTATTGAATGATTACCATCGAAATAGACAACATTTCCTATCAGAAGTCGAAATAAAGCCACTTTTAAAGGCTTAATTTAATCTACACTCATTTAAGTAATCTTTAATAACAACCATCCACTCTCAAGATGATTGAAATAATTCTATACGTTGAGGTACTAGCTGACATAATACTGACATTGAATATGTCTATTAACATCTAATCTCATATCTTATGTCGTATTTGTATAGAGTTGAGTAATTCAAGAAAATATCGTAGTAATATAAAATGCAAACTTCAAGCTCGAGAAAAACGCCTTTCGTCATCATCATCATCAATTAATCCTTCGTGTACTGATTTTCTTATGAAAACGATGTGAGAATTATATTCCCTTACTCATAGTCACATCCAGCATGGTGAAAGTACATTTTGTTTCTACTATGTTGAACAATGTAGAATGACTTTCACAGAAATTAGGAAAACGTTTATAACATTTTTTTCAGTAATTTGATTTAACATTTTATAATGGATTTTATTTTAATCATGAAAATAAAGAGAAATTTATTGAAGGTTGAAAATCATTTAATCTGTCATCAAGTAATAGACAATTAATACATATGAGAGATTGCAAGTTATTTTAAGAACAACATTTTTTTCTCACTTTTCTTCCTTATCTAGAATGGACAGTCACAGGAAACATGAGTGGTGCACGATATTGGCATACAGCATCCACATTAGCAAATGGATTAGTATTAGTTACTGGCGGAAATATTGTTGGTTCTGTCAATACTGCTGAATTGTATAATTCATCAACAGGCACTTGGACAACCACCGGAAGCATGAGTGCCGCACGAGGAGATCACACAGCATCCATATTAGCAAATGGATATATATTAGTTACTGGTGGATTTAACGGTGCTGCTGCTCTCAAGAGTGCTGAATTGTACAATCCATTAACAGGCACTTGGACACTTACAGGAAGCATGAGTACCTCCCGATATTTTCACACAACATCCACATTAGAAAATGGATTAATATTAGTTGTTGGTGGGCAGAACAGTAATGTTTATCTCAATACTGCTGAACTGTACAATTCATCAACAGGCATCTGGACAACTACAGGAAGCATGAATGACGCAAGAGCTCATCACACAGCATCCCTATTAGCAACTGGATTAGTATTAGTTGCTGGTGGATCTAACCGTGTTGCTGGTGAATTCCACGATGCTGCTCTGAATAGTGCTGAATTATACAATCCATCAACAGGCACTTGGACAACTACATCAAACATGAGTATCGCACGAGAAATTCACATAGCATCCACATTAGCAAATGGAAAAGTATTAGTTACTGGTGGACTGTACAGCGGTGTTTATCTCAATAGTGCTGAGCTTTATTAATCGATATGGACAAAAACATATTTTCTTTTTTGAACTGAATCATAAGTTTTTTTATATGTAATTAAACTATTTAATTATTCACCAAATAATATGTGAGTTATATTAATATCTCGAAGTTATATTACATGACGATTGTTCAACAAGCGCTATAGTTGATAAAAGACAGATGCGAAGAATACTAATCATTTGTTGCTTCCAACCACATGTAGTCGGATGATATTTTGGTAAGGGTGTGGGTATGAGGGTATCTCTAAACTGCTGTGTCTATCACCCACACCCACACCCTCAAGAATCTTTGTTTTCAAATAATAATAAATGTCTAAAAGAACATATCAAGCAGTAAATGAACTATTTCAAAATGAATTTTCTGGTGATAAAATACCGTACTTATAAACTTGCGAAGAAGTATGATCAGACAAATATTGTGGATAATATACCACGATGTGGTAGATCTACAATAGTAAAAATAGAAGAAAATATTTAGCTTGTTTCTGAGACCTTCCTCCTAAGTTTGCAAACATCTCAATAATGTATACCACTTGAAGTTCACATCTCACGCACAAGTTTCAAAGGGATGAATTGAAATCTCTAATAAAATAGAAAAATTTATCAGTACAATCTTATGTTTATTTGATGAAGGAAAACAACTTATAGAAGATCATGAAAAATGTAACGTATCATGTTCAACAATCTATAGTGACTCTTTTTTAATATAAAATTTTCTTCTTAATTAATAGTTTATTTTTAACTTTTGTGGCGCTTTTATCCGGTAAACGCAATTATCGACAATCTCATTTACCAAAAGAAATTTATGAACGAATGAAGTTATTACTTTCAAATAAAAAAATACTTCAATATCTGATTGAATTCTTCTTTGTAATGTACACTCGTCGTTAGAATTACCATGTGGTAAGAGAATTTTCTAATAGAAAGTTAAATTCTAAAGAAAATAATGTATTAATTGTTGTACAAGTTCACAGCTGATGATTATTCTTATCCTCAATCAAAAAAATCTATGCTCAGGATGAACGTATATCAGGTGAACTAAATAAATATGGACATGTTCATAATTCAAGATGGATTACTCATCTATTACAAAAAATCTTGGTGTTTATGGTTACCATCATAAATTATTTGTTTTTCTATATCATTCTTAGTAATTTCTGTATATCCTTTTTTAGATCCAGCTACAAAATTATTTACAATATCTCGTTAAGTGGGCATTGTGGTTCGTGATGTTAATTGTATCCATCACTTTTCGACGAACAAAATTTGTTCATGTCAAGATCTTTATATTTATTTTATTTTTGTGTGAAAAAATAAAATATGATAGATGACCTAATCAGAATCGTTTACATTAACAAACGGATTGTATAAAAATTTTTTTCACTCATGCATTTTTCATTCTCTATTCTCAAGATGAAAATAATATAGTCTATGAATCACTGGTTTTTTTAAATTAATTCTCCTGCTTTTCCACGCGCATGCTTGAAGCTCTTTCTTTGGACGATAGATGTAAAAAAATGTATTAAAACTGTAACTCACTGTCCAAATGCTTTCACGATTTTTGCCAATGTTTTCATATTAAAATTATCAAAAATGTAAGATTTTAAGGTAAAAATTTGTTGAATTATCTTAAGGATGTTAGTGTAGATAGTTAAAATATCCACACCCGCAATATGGGAAAAGTAAATAATTTATTGTATGAAGCTCTTCCAGTTCTATTTTACTCCAATGTTGATCCGCTTAACGTCAGTTGTATATGAACTTATTCAAAAAATACTCGAATCTTGACCTAAGATGCTCTACAAAAAAAACAGCTATGAATCACTCATTAAAAATAAACATACAGGTGTCTATATACTAATAGCAACAGAATTGAGGGTAAGTGTGAGTATCTCTTCTCATTATCCACCCTCACTCACACCCACCCGTATATGCAACGTCTATAAACCCTTGCAAGATTTATGTAATGTTGAAGAAAAGACAAGACTTTTATATTATACTGTTATTTTTTTACAGTGTTGTCTATTATCAGTATTTACTAAATTATATGATAAGAAAATAAAAGAAGAATTGTTATTATAATATATTCTAGCAAGAGATGTACATAACAATGAAAGATAAATATATGAGAAATAGTTAATATTATTATATAAAAACTAATAAATGCATTCTATTTTTATTTTTTGCTTGTCAAGATAATTTTATACTTGTTATATTATTTCAATTTTTTCTCATAGGATTCTTTTGATAAAAAAAGAGTAAAGTGAGATAAGTAATGTTTAATAAATAAGACATTTCATATCTTTTAACAAGCATGTTAAAATAAATTCTTTCTTTTTTCAAAGCAAGTTTTATATAAGATCATCATTTACAGTATAAAATAAAAAATATTTTGTTGAAGATTAAAAAATGACACGTGGAAAAACTAATGAAAGAATTCGTGCAGCAAGAGTTGAACCATCAGAATATGCATCAGCATATCGTGCTATTGAAGTTCTTGAAAATCTTCAAACAAGACCAAATGAATTTATTAAAACATTAGCTGATATACCTGATTATACATTTGCACATCATCCTGATAAGGAAACATTTGGTGCTAGACAAATTCTTGATATTCAAGATGAACAACAAACAAATGGAAAAATTTTTAAAAAGGTTTTTTTTTGAGAAAAATATTTCTTTTAATAAATAAAAATATTTTCTTTTTTTTCTAGTTTATATTAGGTGAATATAAATTTCAAACATTTCGACAAATATCTAAACGTATTGAAAATATTGGTCGAGGTTTGTTATCACTTAATCTTACATTAGGTGATAAAATATTAATTTATTCTGAAACACGTTACGAATGGTTATTAACAGCATTTTCGGCTTTTCGTCATGGTTTAACTCTTGTTACACTTTATTCAACATTAGGTGAAGATGCTATTAAATATGGAATTAATCAATCAAAAGTTAAAATTGTTATCACATCATATGAATTAATTTCTAAACTTAAAGTAATTTTGATTTCGATATTTAGATTTATTTTTAAAAAAAAAAGAATATTTTATTTAGAATATTTCAGATGAAACAGAAGACGTTCGTTATATTATTTATTTTCCACCAATTTTAAAAACAGAATCAATTAAATTACCTGAAACTAAAAATAATATTCAATTTATTTCATTAGATCAACTAGAATTAAATGGAAGCAATGCATTGATTGGTTTGAATTTAAATTCAATTTTATTATTATCATTATTATTATTTATTTAGATGAAGATATTTTAAAACAACGGCCTGTCGAAACAGATACTGCTGTTATTATGTATACTAGTGGTAGTACAGGACTACCAAAAGGTTACTTCTGTTCTATTGAACTTTATTTAATTTATTTTCGATCTAATAAATAGGTGTTTTAATAAGACATGAAAATATAATTGCTGGAATGACTGGTCAACAATCACGTTTACTTTCAATGGTCAATGTTGATACTGATATATATATTGCTTATTTACCATTAGCTCATATTCTTGAACTTTGTTGTGGTTTGTTTCTTTATATTAGTTGAAAAATAATTTATCTTTTCTTTTTTTTTAAAGAAATTTGTATGTATTATTTGGGTATTAAATCTGGTTATTCATCTCCACAAACATTAACAGATCAATCAACAGGAATAAAACAAGGAGCAAAAGGAGATTTACAAATACTTCGTCCACACTTGATGATTACTGTACCAGTATGAATAGATTTTATTTTTTATTAAATATTATATTTCAAAATGAATAGGCAATTCTTGATCGTATTCATAAAGCTATTATTGAAAAAGTGAATCAATCAAATTATTTTCGACGTTCTTTATTTCGTATTGCATATAACAGGAAAGTGAAAAAATTAGAAAAAGGTCTTAATACTCCACGTTTAAATAAGTAAATAATTATTATTTTAATAAAAGAATTTTTCTGTACGAAAATATAATTTAGATTAATCTTTAATCGTTTGAATCAAATTGCACTCGGTGGTAGATTACGAATAATGATGTGTGGTGGAGCTTCTTTAAATAG